AGGAAGTTCAGGGACAAAAGAGTGGCCAGTGCCTCAAATGCAGCTGAATGACCTAGTCAAGAAAGGATTGAAAGGTATGTGATAGATATATGCATGTGAAGGTCAGCTGGAAACCCCTGAAGACATCCATTCCCAATACAGATACAGCTTCTGTATCACCAATACAGAATTTTCCAAAATTCAAAATTAATCACCTCACTTCCTGTTGTGATTACCATCTGCAGGTTTGCCCATTTGCTGGACCATCAAGAGCAATATCCATGCCAATCTGGGTAGTATAGTTTCTCAGACTTGGTTTCTTCATCTCATGTAAAGGAGAGTTGCAAAGTTCCATAACTCTTAGGGTCAAATCCTCATCTAAAAACCCATGGGGCTGGCAGGGCTTGGTGGTACACAGCTACAATCCCAGTGACTTGAAAAGTTGAGGCGGGAGGATCATGAATTCAAGGACAACCTCAGAAACTCAGTGAAGCCATAAGCATCTTAGTGAGATCCTAATTAAAATAAAAAATTTTAAAAAAAAGTCTGGGGATGTGGTTTAGTGATAAAGTACTGAGCTCAATACCCAGTATACAAACTAATAAATACACTCATAAAAAAAATTCTTGAGGCCACATGTGTGCTGGAGTACATAGCTTGTTGGATTCTAGAAAGGTAATAGGATGCACATACCATGTATTACATAACACTGCCTGCAGAGTCTGCTGGGTTCCATTTGGTAATCAAACAACACCAAGTAGAACCAAAGGACTTTAAGCAACCTTAGTTGAGGTCAGGACTGAGATACTTTTATTTTCTAGAGCTTTTCAGATTTTTGGAATTGTGATAAGAACCATCCTGGCAGAGTTGTTTTAAGTCTCAAATGAGAGCTGTATATGGGAAAACGAAGCAGAAAAGGTAACTACAAAGGGCAAGAAGCCCTGCTCTTCCTGGATGAGAATGAAAGGAATTTTTCTTTTTCTGATACTGTGCCTGTGTGAGCAATTTATAAAGGATAAATTGATAGTTTTTGGAAGCCATGTCTCCATGGTTGGAAAGGAATGACCCAGTTTAAAGAATGCATCCGAGGGTGGCTGGAAACATTTGAATGATCAAGGGCAGTTGCCCTAACTTACTCCTCAACTTATTTATCTCCCTCTTCGGGGCCTGGAGCTGGGCTCTAAGCTGGAACTATAGGGTTGGGGAGCTTCACAATGGAAATCAGATTTTCACTGTCATCCTCCTTGCTGGGCCGTGAGCTCTGTGAGGCAGAGCATAACACAGCTCCAGGTCTTTGCCTGGGTGGGCACTTCAATTTTGGAGTGTTTTATTTTTTTCCTGAATTGAATTGCAATTGCTCTCTTATGTTCTTTGTTATGGCAGAAGGCAAAGTTAGCATTGTCATAACTTCCATTGTTTTTATCTTCAGACAAAGATTCCTCTTCCCAGAGGGTCCTTTTGCCCAGCTCTGTCCCCTGTCTCTGCTCACTTCTGTTTTTTTTCCCCAATATTTATTTTTTAGTTGTAGTTGGACACTATACCTTTATTTTATTTATTTTTATGTGGTGCTGAGGATCGAACCCAGGGCCTCGCTTGTGCTAGGCGAGCACTCTACCACTGAGCCACAACCCCAGCCCCTTGCTTCTGTTCTTTATGGCTCCCACATCCCCACCTCACATGCCAACCCCTACACCCACCCACACACACCTTATTCTCATAACTGAGGACTTGGGCCCTTGGCTCACAGACTTCTTCTTCTTCATCTTATTCCCTTTCTTATTCACAAGTGAGTTTAGATGACCCAACTGGCCTCACCAGGAACCATTGCTCCTCTGAAAGGTTAAAACCTCACATTCAATCTATCTCTTTAGTTCCTTTTTCTTATTATATCAACTTCAAATTTCCTTGAAATTCTGAACCCTTAACTTTTCTCTTTTGATTTAATTACCACTTATCTCACCTGCATCCCATGAATTATCACTTCAACCATTCTCTTTCCAGTACTGCCAATATTTTTGTCCCTTGATCCTTCTGCCTGACCTATATCTGCCATTTTCATTTTGGGTGGTGCTGGAGACAGACTCCAGGTAGGGATATACCCAGAGTGTAACTTCCAATACCAGCAGGGCTTTCGGCTCTGCTTAACAGACTGCTTTTGAGGGTTTTGTTGACTTCCTTACTCATTCTTCACAATGGATTTTCCAAATCTTCTCCTAAACCCACTCTTGCTCTCCTATCTCAGAAGATGCCTTTTAGGTGAAAAAGAAAATGTACCTTCTTGCCCCTGTATCTACACATTCACTTAGACTCTCACTCCTCTTTTTCTCCTTCCCCACTACTTCAAAGGCAATGGTGAACCTTCTCTTTTCACTTCTCTGTGCCTTCGATCTTCTCTTAACCTTTCTCCTTCAGATCTTGATCTCCTCAATTTCTCCATCTCTTCTGCATACTTCTCTGAAAGTTACAAACATTCACAGAATCTTTCCATCTTAAAACACAACATTTTTTTTAACCCGGTGTTCCCCTCTGATCACAATAATGCATTTATAGGGAACAGAATAAAGCAGCTTCCATCACTTTCCTACCTTTTCAGCCTCCTGCAGTGAGTTCCACCCTCAATTCTAGTCTACTGAGGCTTCTTTGGCACAAAGTCACCATAGACCTCCAATAACTAGAAGCAGTTGATTCATTTTGGTTCTCATTGGACTTACACTCTTCCATCTGATACAACTGATCACTCCCTTTCCAGAACCCTCATCACCTCTCACTCTCAATCTCCTTTTACCTCCTTGATAATCTCTTCCTCTTTGGTGGACTCTATTTCTTCTCTCTAAATCTTTGTCCATATAATCATTACCCAGAGTTTGTCTTCTTACAGTGTATCTTCTCCCTGAGAAAACTCAACTCAGACCTATCTGCTGATGACTTCTATGTCAAACCTCTCCTGGATTTTCATGTAGAGAGGCTCAGCTCAGCTACCAGCCATCTCCACATCTCCACCTGAATGTCACAAAGAAACTTCATGCTTATCAAGTCTAAAAAATTAATCACAGTCTTCCCTGATATGATATTTCCTAAACCTGTTCTTCCTTTCCCCCTACATCAGTCAATGGTAAAACCTCCTCCACTGACCTAAGAGTCATTCTCTACTCCTTTCTTTCCCTTATAGCCCTCATCCAATCATTGACCAAGTGAATCTCAAATCTGTAATTCTCCATTCCTAAACTAGTGCCTTAATTCAGATCCATATCCCATAGTCTCTCATGCCTTTATTATGCAATAGCATCTTTCATCTCTCTTTCTTTTCTTTCTGTGCTAGAGATCAAACTCAGGGCCTTGTGCATGTGAGGCAAGCATTCTACCAACTGGAGCTATATCCTCAGCCCCTGCAGCATCTTACGAGGTGTCCCTGCCTCCGGGCTTGTACCACTTCAATTCAGTCTTTTTATTTTTTGGTACTGGGAATTTAACCCAGGGGTGCTTAACCACTGAGCAACATACCCAGCCCATTTTTTATTCTTTTTATTTAGAGACAGGGTCTTGCTAAGCTACTTAGGGCCTTGCTAAGTTGCTGAAGCTGGCTTTGAACTCTCGATCCTCCTTCCTCAATCTCTCGAGCCACTGTGATTACAGGCCTGCACAAGTGCATGCAGCTTTCAATCAGTCTTAACATGCAGCTGCAGCCCTGTAAAATGCAAATATGGTCAGAAGCAGGAAGAATGCTTGAGTGTTAGCCTGGGTAATATAGCAAGATAGGAACGGGGTAGGAAGAAGAGAAGAAGGAGAAAGAGGAAGAAAATTAATAAAAATAAGGGGGGTGGGATCTGTTTAAAGCCTTTCAAAGGACAAAAAGTACTAATCTATAGTAGCAGAAAGTATATCTGTGCTGGATAGGATGGCACACACCTGTAATCCCAGTGACTCCAGAGCCTGAGAAAGATGACTGCAAGTTCTAAGCCAGCCTCAGGACTTAGCAAGGCTCTCAACAACTTAGAAAGATCCTTTCTCAAAATAAAAATAAATAAATAAAAAGGGCTGGGGATATAGCTCAGTGGTGAAGTGCCCCTGGGTTCAATCCCCAGTACCAAAAGAATTTAAAAAAAATATATGTTTAAAGCATATCCATAGGAATAGGAGTGAAAGTTTGAGAACTGAATATAAGGAAGCATGAGGGAAATTTCTGGAGATGAAAAATGTTCTATATCTTGATTGTGGTATTTAGGTATGTGGGTATATACCCAATGGGTATATACATTTGTCAAAATGCATGAAACTGTACACTTAAAATTGGTGCGTTTTATTATATGTAAAATATACCTCAATAAACTTTATTTGTAAAAGGTACCCTTCTATGGCACCAATGGCCTGATGGACAAAATTCAAATTTCATATCCTAGCATATTCAATGATATGGCTCCTCTCCTTTCTACTCTTCTCACGTCCCCTAAACACCTTTTATATTATTAATAGTTCACTGCAGATCTACAATGGGCCTCTTCCTTGCCTGCCAGTTCAACTTGTGTCAGCCTCTGTGAGCTTATTCCCCAGCCCCAAATAACTATTCTTTTGGGCTCGCTGCACTGGCCCTAAATAAATATTTACCATAAAAAGTTTTTGGTTTCACTCCTGTTATGTGTCTCCCTTCCTTCACCAGACTATGTGTGTGATGGCTGGACCTTGTCATTTCATGCTTATATCTCCGCTCCTATCACAATCTTTGTTAAAGAAACCTGGACTTCATTATTGCAGTCCAACCCAGGGGGCAACCGGAGAGACGCTGCCCCTCCACTCCTGCAAGAGGCGCTGTGGCAAACGCCATCCGTCGGCCTGCTCTTGACTTCCTTGGGCTACACGCTGGGGCCTCCGCCCCCTCCCTTGTAACATCCCTCTTGCCCATTGGACGAGCGCGGTCGGAGCTATCCAACGGAGCAAGGCGTTGGTGCGAGGAGGCACCACCATCTTTGAGCATCTGGGACTCCTACGTTGGTCGGCTACCGCAGGTTGTAGGTAGGTAGGTGGGCCAGGCAGGGCCGCCTCCGGCCCTTTAGGCTTGCTTCTCATTCCCATTCCATCCCAGGCCACGATGCCGCAGTACCAGACCTGGGAGGAGTTTAGCCGTGCGGCCGAAAAGCTCTACCTCGCTGACCCTATGAAGGTAAATAGTGGGGCCTCTGCCCTCGGGTCCCGACCCGGGATCAGGATGTCTTCCCTGCCGTCCGCTCGAGCTCAGGGGTTTCTTTAGTATTTCCAGGAGGTGGTGGGAGGGAGCCGAGTTGGACCCCGCCAAATCTAATTGTACCTGCTGTCCTCTCTCTATCCCCAACTCGAGTGGCCCAGTGAGGTCCTGATCATCAGTTAGGATTGTTTCATTCGTAACCGTCAGTACAGACGCTTCCAGTCCCTGAACTTCCTCTATGGCTTTGATGGCTTTACGTGTCTCTAAGGCCAGGGCTCCTCCCTCTGCAGCTCCGGATTCCTGTCCGTTAGATGTCTTGGTGCCGGTTTCCCCTACCACCAAGATGTAAATAAATGTTCCTCGGATATATAAAACAGGGATGTTAATTCTTTTGACAGCCCAGGCTTTCTTTAAAGAAATCTGTTTGGAAGAGATATGTCCCTGCCCAAAGGGGGTTCTTAATGTTTTGAGGGTCCGTGGCCTAAATTTTGAGAATGTTTGCACCCTGTTCCAGGAAAACGCACTTAGGCATAAATGTTTGCAAAAGGTTTCATTCCCCACCTCACCATGCCAGATTTACTTCTGTGGGAAACACAAAGGGAAGATGCAGCCTATCCCTTAAGGAGCTGGTATTTTTGGAAGGTACTATGGATAAATGTGAATATATCCTTTGGAGAAGAAAGAAAAAGAAAAGCGGTTACTCTCAAGAAACGGAGCTCAGATTTTACTGATATTTTCATTGATCAGTAAATAATATCGACTGTGTTTTAAAGGTATATTTTGGGCTGGTAACCTGTAACTCCCGCGCCACATGTTGTTTATATTGAGCATCATTTAAATGGGGCAGCAAAATGTGTTGATACTATAATTAAAAATAGTATTAGACCCATGGAAAGACCTAAATAACCAAATTACTAAAACATTTTCAGTGCCATTTTTAAACTAATATAACAATACTTTATTAGTTTCATTTGTAAAATATTAAGGTTCTTCATAAAGTGATATAATAAATAATAAAGTGAATTAGATATTTTTGAAATCAAGTACTTACTTGACACTAGTGAGTGCTGACTGTTCCATTTGGTGGTTTTCCTTTCCCCTGGTTACAGGGTCATTTGTTTCTTCAGTCAATCTATATACCATGAGATAGTATGAGATTTTTGTCCAAAAGCACCCACAGATTTATATATTCAAATATTTTTATATTTGAATATATAAATATTCAAATATTTTGAATCAAAATATTCAAATATTTTCAAAAAATATTTGTAAAGACAGTAAAGAATATACAGAGTCACCTCAAAAGAGGCTGTATTTCAAGAATGTGGCAGTAGTTATAGGGCAAATGAAAATTAAAATAGTAATTGGAGAACATCACTGTGAACAAAAGCATTTCTAGACTAGACAAGAGGGAAAACCTTTCAGTTCTTCACCCAGCTGAATAATTTCAGTGGCCTAAAACTCCTGCATCCTCAGGATGGCTTTCTACTGCCTTTTAACTAATTTGTGGATGGAGAGGTTGAAAAGAGGATGAAAAGAGTTTTATTGAGTGCATTCTATGTAACAGGCATCTTTCATATATGTATAGTTTAGGGCTAGAGATGTGGTTTAGTGGCGAGTGCTTGCCTGGTAAGCATGAAGCCTGGGGTTCAAAAGAAAAAACAAAAACAGCAGAATGTATAATTGGAATGTGTATGTATAATTTATTTGAACAACTGCAGCAACTGTGTTAGTTAGCTTTGAGTCATTCGTGTCCATAATACTTAACAAAAGCAATTTAGAAGAGGGAAAGTTTATTTTGGACTCATGGGTTCAGAGGTCCATGGTAGGCCGATGCCATTTCTCTGAGTGAGGCAGAAGATCATGCCAATGGTATGGTGGAAGAGAGCTTCTTAGCTCAGGGCAACCAGGAAACAGAGAAGAGGCCAGGGACAGATATAGCCCCTAAGATCATGCTCCCAGTGACCCACTTCCTCTAGCTGTGCCCTTCCCACATATAGTTAGCACCTAGAAGGCCATTCAGATTATTAATCCATCAAATAGATGAGTCTACTGATGAGGTCAGAGCTCTCATGAATCATCATTGCTGCATTGCCCACAACATGAGCTTCTGGGGAAACATTCAAGATCCAAACCATGGTAGCAACCCATTGAGGTGGATAAATAAACAGTCTTAGATTCCATAAATTGTTTGCCTAATATCTAAGAGATTAAGCTGAAATACAGATTTAGGCTCTGAACTCCAAGTCCATTCTGCTTTTACCAGGGATAAAGAAAAAATTTTGGCCAGGTGCAGTGGCACACCCCTGTTATCCCAGTGACTTAGAATGCTGAGGCAAGAGAATCACAAGTTCAAAGTCAGCCTCAGCAACTTAAGGAGACTGTCTCAAAAAATAAAAAGGACTAGGGATATAGCTCAGTTGGTAGAGTGCTTGACTCGCATGCATAAGGTCCTGAGTTCAATCCCCAGCACCACAAAAAAAGTAAATTTTAAAAAAAAAGGGTTGAGGATGTGGCTCAGTGGTTAAGTGCTTCTGGGTTCAATTCCTGGTACTAAAAGAAAAAGAAAGAAAGAAAATTTCTTTTTCAGGACTCTGGAGTCTATTTTCCAAAATCTCTGTCCTCTCATACCAGCATATTTAGGTTGATGATTGTATCTGTCCTCTTTTACCACTCACAACATAGCTCTAATTGAAAATGGTTTTACTGATAGACTGTATAATAACTTCTTAGTTACTCTGTCTACCCTTTTTAGTCTCTCCTTCACACTTGCTACAGCTGTCTAAAAAACAAAAATTGAATTGTTCCCTGCTTTAAAAATTTCATTGATTAATGAATAAAGCCCCAACTCTCAGTCTCTGTCTGACCCTCTTTCCAGCCAGGCATTGTTTACCCCCATTTCCACCATCTTCAACTATAGACTCAGTGAAACTACCGAATTCATCAGATCATTATTCAGAATACTTATCCTTTCTCCAACCTTCTTTCTTAGAGGTGGGAAAAATGCATTTTTCTTTTAGTCAACTTTTTGTCACTCTGACCAAAATACCTGACAAGAACAAATTAGACAAGGAAAGGTTTATTTTGACTTGCTGATGCAGAGATCTCCGTCCATGGTTTGTTGACTCCATTGCTTTGGGCCTGAAGTGAGACAGAAGAAAGGTGTGGTGAAAAAAGCTGCTTAGCTCAGGGCAGCCTGGAAGCAGAGTAGAGAGTGAGAAGCCAGGGACAAAATATAATTTCCAAGGTGTACACCCAGTGACCTCCTTACTCCAGCCTCATCCCACCTGTCTACAGTTACCACCCAGTAATCCATTGAAATTATTAATCCAGTAAATGGACTAATTTCCTTATTAGGTAATAGTTCTCATAACCTAATTATTTCACCTCTGAATGTTCCTGCATTAAGTGAGCTTTTTGGGAGGCATCTCATATCTAAACTAAGGAAAGAGTCACCTAAAAGAAGTGACTCTTTCCCTTCTCCCAGTGTAAATTGTTTTCTCTTTTTAGTAGTTTACCTATGTATGCCTTTATAGGCTTAATTAATTCTGTTTTATGTTTTGGTTATTTTGGTTGGTTGAATTCAAAGTTCCTAAGAGGGCAAATATCTTGACTTTTTTCCTCTCCTTTCCTGGCACATGCGTGACACAGTGGCTCAGGTGCCCCTTAAGCTACAAAACGGAACCCTATCTTACAGAACCATATGCCCTTTAACTCTCATTTCTTCTAGTGAAACCAGTGAGTATTCTCTTAACTGAGAGTTAAAACTTTATATAGTTGTCATGCTTAGTATATTTTTAAATTTTGGTTTCTTTTGTTTTTAAAATTAAATTTTTAAAAATAAGTAAAACGGTTTAATAGTTCAGTAAATGTTTCACAAACATTCTGGTTATTATTTCTCTCTACTTAAATGTGGGTGAGTTCCTTTTCCCTTATCAAGACACATCTCCAAGAGATGTAACTTTTTTTTTTTTTTTTTTTTTGCAATCCCAGGAGTACAGAGAGCATAATGGGAAAAGTTGTAGGTTATAGCTGTATTATTAGCCCTTTTTAGTTTCCAGAATTGTTTTGACACTTTTTGTGCTACATTGTAAGCATTTTAAAACTATATTCCTGTTTTGGCTTATAAATTCTTAGCAGTTTTTGAAACAGCTAGCTAAGCAAGAGTTACTGGTATTGTATAGCCAAAAAAAAAAAAAAACTGCTGATTATGCTTGCTTGCATCCATCAGTAAAAGAACAAAAAAAAAAGTTCACAGAATCTGGAAGTTACTGGATATTGTCTTATATTCTAATATCTGAACAATATCTTGGCTACTTAACTAGAATACTGAACAACATCAGTGTAAGTTTTTGGAAAAGTTGTTGCTAAGAGACTTCTTTTTGAATCTGCCTTCTGACAGCCATGGAAGGATAGAAACTCTGTCCAGAGATAGAAGCACTGTTTCCCTGAAAAATGAATTTGAGCTTTTTGTTTGTTTTTATTTTTGTGGTGGTGGGGATTAAACCTAGGGCTTCAGGCATGCTAGGCAAGTGCTCTACCACTGAGCTATATCTCCAGCACTATAATTGGACTTATTAACCAGCCATTTCTGCTTATTTGTTTTCCTTTTCCTGTTATTTTTCCATGACTAGGTGTGCTGGCATATATTCTCACTGGGAAAAAAAAGCCAAACTATCTTATAGTCTCTCAGACATTCCCTGAGTATGAATATGCTTTGGGAGTTTTCTTTAGACTGGCTGCAATTATAATATCCAAGTTTTTAAAAAATATCTTTATTTATTTTTAAGTGGTGTTGAGGATTGAACCCAATGCCTCACATGTGCAAGGCAAGCGCTCTACCACTAAGCTACAGCCCCAGCCCTCCCACCTTTTTTTTTAATTTAAGTATTTAAAGTGTAGCACAAGGAATGAACTAAAATGACTTCTTTTTTTGAAACTTTATAATTTCAGTAATGACAAAACTATAATAAAGATGCCTTTAGATGTTTTGGGTGTTTATTCTAAAAGGATCCTTTCAGCCTACCTGAAGACTAAATTATTTAGAGAAATGACATCTGTCTTTACTATTTCTAAATATGTGTTTTTATTTCAGGCACGTGTCGTTCTCAAATATAGGCATTCTGATGGGAGTCTGTGTATTAAAGTAACAGATGATTTAGTTGTAAGTATACATTTTTATTTGTTGCATACTTTCAGATTTTTTTTAGTTGATCACTTGAAATTAATTATATATAAAATTTATGCAGATTACCCATTAGGATGCTTCTTTTGCCTTTTATTCCAAAATGATGAGCCTCATTCTAGAAGCTACTTTTATAGACATTCAAGAAATAATTTTACTTGCCTCATCATTGCAGCTTGTCAGGTGTGGCTTAACAGTTGCTTCCTCTGGACCTTAAGCAAAAGAAACATAGAGACCAAAATTGAATATAGGAGAGGAAAGGTTTCATTTTTGTTTGTGAGAGAAATAAACAATGGGGCTGGGTATATAGGTCCGTACTAGAGCACTTGCCTCACCTGCATGAGGCCCTGGGTTCAGTCCACAGCACCACAAAAAATAAAACAAGTAGTAGTAAACAATGTATTTGAACACAAGTTATAGACTTTGTTATTGTATCTCTCTTCTTTCTTGATGTGCTCACTCTTCTTACTTCCTCACATCCCATTCCTTCCTTGGCCCTCTGTCATCTGGTTTGTACCACTCACACTGCTCTTGGTGAAAGCTCATGAGCAGCATCTTTTTTTCAAACCCAGTAGTCTCATCACTTTATATTTTGTTTGATCCTTGCTCATTTTGAAACAAAGACTGCTCTCTCATGGAAATTATTATTTTGACACATGTAGCTAAATTTTATCTTAGCTTTCTTTGTTTCTGTCTCATTCTTTGATAATTGTTTCTTTGCTGTGTCTCCATAAATATTTGTTTCCCTAGAATTCTCTCCTTTGTTGTCTTTTTCATATTATGGCATCTGGAGCAAATCCTTCAGTTGAGTCCAGTATTGCTTATATCTGTGTCTCCTTGCAAGTTTGCGTATTTAGTTCCCATTTTTCTTCTGATGTCCTGATTTAACTCTTAAGTATCTTTGCCTCAAATACTATTTAAAGTAAGTCCCTCCAGAGTGGAGCTTATCAGCTCTTTTCTGTCTGGCTCCTTCTCTTCCTACTTGAGTTGCATTGCCATCCACCTGGTCAGAAATCTTGGCATCATTTCCCTCATTCTCCTGTCCACTCATTGTTTATTTGAAACCTGTTTTGATCTCCTCATAAATCACATACACTTTGCTAGGCATTTGGAGTTACTGATTCAAGAGCTCCTTCCTCATTTTTCCTGTCACAGACTCTCCATCTTTGCACTTACTCTCTTTATGTTTACGATTTTATCTCTTGTCTGGCCTGTTAGAATAGACTTCCAACTATATCCTTTCTTTTTTTGTTCACTGTTTATTGCTGCCACAATCTTTCTTTCTTCAATTTCATATTCCCCTATTCTCTGTTTTCTATGAGCTCCTTTAACATACTGTGGTTAGGCCTCTGCTTTTGAACATTTTGTTTCTTCCTTTGCAATATTGAATCCCACCCCCATTCCCAATGTGGGAAGACGGATCATCTTTCAAAACCAGACTCATGAGGATTGTTTCATTTCTTTTTGATTTCTCTTGTGCTGTATCACAATTATCTTTTTAACAGACTTGTTGCTGGGCTGGGGTTGTGGCTCAGTAGTAGAGAATTTGCCTCATGTATGTGAGACACTGGGTTCAATTCTCAGCACCACACATAAATAAATGAATAAAATAAAGGTCCATCAACAACTAAAAAACTTTTTTAAAAATAGACTTATTGCTTCAAGATAATAGAGGTAGATGAGTAATATTCTTACCTGTATTCTTACCCTTAGTCTATCTTGATCCAGAGAGTACTCAGTAAACATTTAAAAAAATAGTTTAATTCTTCTAAAAAATCACTTTTGGTCATATATCATATTTGTGTCTGGGGTTCCATTATGAGGTTGCATGAAGTCAGAACTTTTAATGATTACCATGTTTCCTAAGGACCAGTTGAATCTGGTGGAGTAACTAAAAATGTGGAAAAGGAAGAAAAAATTGAGATGATTCAAGAGGTCTGAATCCTAGCTTAACCATTTATTAGCATTTTGACCTTGGAAAAATTTGCCCTTCTGGATCTCAGTTTCCTCATCTATAAAATGCCATAATAATAGTCTGTTTACCTGATTGTGATGCTGTGGAAAGCAAACAAAATATGTGAAAGTATCTAGCATTAGTGCTTGTGACTTGTTAGAATAAATAAATGTATTCTTGAATCTTGAGCATTCCACATTGAGAAAAAGTTTAATTGTGATTATTCCAGAGTGGTTAAGATATACCTGCTGAAGAGAAACAGATATGCCTTGTTTTAAAAACGGGGAGGGGAAATGCAGAATAAATTTTAATACAAAGGCTTTATCTCAAGGTGATTTTTTTGTATGTGTGCCCCTCTGGTCTCAGTTTTGGCCAGAGGGATATCAAAGTCACCAAGAATAATTTGGAGGTTGCCAAGGACTTGTTTAAAAGTTTTTTCAAGTCTGACCGAGAACTCTGACATTTAGAAATAGAAAAGAAGGGCTGGGGATATAGCTCAGTTGGTAGAGTGCTTGCTTAGCATGCACAAGACCCTGGGTTCAATCCCCAGCAACATACACACACACAAAAAAAAAAAAAAAAGAAAGAAAGAAATAGATAAGGAGAAGTGAATTTTTTTTAAAAAAAAAGTCTTTATCTCCAAGTAATAGCTTTTTTGCCCCTCATAATTTAAGGATCCATGTTAAGCAATATCAGAAATAATTTATTTGGCATTTTTTTTATTCCATTTCCTAAAACTACTAAGAATTAAACCATATCTAGAAATATCCAGAAGGGACTAAAAAAAGTTTGTATACAGCCTTCACTAATTTTAAAAGCTAATAATTTCATCAGAAAACTTGGTCTTAAACTTTATTCATCATTATCACCACATAGCTTTGATATTTTTTATGATTACATGTATGTATCATTTTTTCCCCCTAATCCCCTAAATGATTTATAATTTTCTCTTTCTTGGGCACTGGGTATTGAACCCTGGGGTGTTTTATCATTGAGCTATATATTCCCAGTCCTTTTTATTTTGAGACAAGGGCTTTATAAGTTGCTGAGGCTGACCTCACACTTAAGGATCCTTTGCTTTATCGCCTCCCAAGTTTCTGGGTTTAATGTAGGCATGTACCATGTCTGCCTTAGTATGGCCTTATTACAAGGTTTCCATACAAATTTGTACAGTGTGTGGGTAATTTTTTTAATTAACTTATTTTTTTTAGTTTTAGGTGGACACAATATCTTTATTTTTATTTTTATGTGGTGCTGAGGATTGAACCCAGTGCCTCGCGCATGCCAGATGAGCACACTACCACTTGAGCCACATCCCCAGCCCTAAATTTTTTTTTTAAGTGAGTTCTTTAAAGACTACATGAATTCAGATCAGTTGGGCATGGTGAGGTTGAATTTCCAAGTTATTTAAGTTAATGACTTATTATAGGATCATTAGTTCCTGTTGTATAAAACTCATGTGGACCTCTAGGTGGGTTAAAGAAAAATGGACCTAATTACAAAATGAGAAAAGGCTGCCAGCTCAAAGTTGGTATGTTTGAAGATTTTAGAACAAATGGTTTTATGACTAACTATAAGCATATCTAAGGTTTTGGGTTGGTTTAAAAATTATAATAAATACCTTTAGAAAATCAAGATTGGACAGACTTAGTTGATTTGATTTAATTATGCACCAGCTAGAAGCAGGGAATTCTAGACTTTGAAGAAAAATATTGTTAAACCCATAATTTCACAGATAGGGAACGGGATCCTAAGTTTTTTTGTTTTTTTGTTTTTTGTTTTTTTTTTTTTTTGGCTTTTTTTTCCACTGTAACTCAGTTATTAGTGACTGTTTTCCAGGAGAGAATATCTAATTTAAGTCCTTAAATTCTTCTCATCAGCCCACAACAGGACTTAATACATTACTAACTGATCATTTTTTAGAAGTTTCTAGTAGATATTGAATAATTTTGAATCCTCAGAAGTGGTATTCAAAATGCCATTCCTAAAGCCAGATATGGTGGTACATTCCTGTAGTCCTGCTGACTTGGAAGGCTGAGACAGGAGGATCACTAGTTTGATGCCTGCCCAGCAATTTAGCAAGGCCCTAAGTAACCTAGCAAGATTCTATCTCAAAATAAAAAATAAAAAGGGCTGTGGAATGTTTCTCAGTGGTAAAGTGACCCTGGGTCCAATCCCCTGTACAAAAAAAAAATACCATTCTTTTAAGGAATGTAATTGCTGGAAGCTTGTGAACTTGAGTGCAGTTTGTCCTTTGACTGTAGAGAAAATAGAGCAAAACAATGGTAGGAAGGACTCTCAGAGTTTTTCCTAATTACTGTTTTCACAGTGCCAGTATCTGGTTTTACTTAGTTAATGTATAATTTTAAAATTTCTGACAGTGTTTGGTGTATAGAACAGATCAAGCTCAAGATGTAAAGAAGATTGAGAAATTCCACAGTCAACTAATGCGACTTATGGTAGCCAAGGAATCCCGCAGTGTTGCCATGGAAACGGACTGACTGGTTTGAAATGAAGACTCTTTTTGTCATGTTCTTAGGAAGTAAATATCTTTTGAATTTGAGGAAGTGTTGACAAAAAATACTTTATGTAACTAAGTGAGCTATTCAAAAGCTGAGAGATCTTTTTTTGTACTTTATTTTTAATGTTTACTTTAGAGAGCTAGGAATATAAATGCTTTCTGTTAGAAAGCCATTATTTATCTTTGAAAATTAAATAAGAAATGCATCTGTCTCAGAAACTTTTTGCAGATTATTTGATGTTGGCCAAAATATACAATTATTTCTCTGGTAAATTTATATTAGTAATTTAAAATGAATACCAAAAAAAGCCAGTTCTTCCTTAAATTTAGTTTGTCTGTCTTTAAGAGAAAATTAAATGTAACCATTGTGCTGGATCATTATATTTCTTTTGGAACATAAAATTTGTGTTGTTAATAACCAATAAACTTATAGTAACTGGAATTAACTATACAAAACAGTATGGCTGATTATGTCCAGTAGTGTAGTCTCAGTTATATCTAAAAGTAGTTAAGAATAACATATTCTTTACCTTAAGCTTTTCCAATTTAAACTACCTTTTTTTTTGCTAATAAGGATTGAACCCAAGAGTGCTTAACCACTGAGCCACATCCCCAGTCCTCTTTTTATGTTTTATTTTGAGATAGGATCTCACTAAGTTGCTTAGAGCATCGCTCAGTTGCTGAGATTGACTTTGAACTTGCAGTCCTCCTGCCTCAGCCTCCTGAGTCACTGGGATTATAGGCATGCACCGTTGTGCCCAATTAAACTACATAGGGGATTTATAGTATCAGTATCAGCTTGTTAAGCAATGAATGACTGTGATAAAAACAACAGCAGTTATTTGAATACATGATCAGAATAATGATCACTATAATGGACTGGAACCACTGTATTACAGAATATTTGCTACATATTTCCCATGAGAAATATTTCTCAGAAGGGCTAAGGATTATATGAATTGTTAAACATTTGCATACTTCCATGATACCCCTGCCCATTTTCTTTTCTTACCTCAGCTGTTAAACATGTTGTCATGCTGTTATATGTTTTCTAGTAAACCAGAAATATGACATTATTTCATATTTATATTTGTAATTTGATTTTACTATCTAAATGTAATGTTCTTATGTTGATTCCTTGGGTGAAGTGAAGGCACTATGTTAAAATACATATATTTTTGTAGTAATTTGTCACGTTGAACAACATTTTAGTTTGGAAGGTTCCATTAGCCATATAAGAATTTTGGATTGTTTTAGAGGTCAGTAAATAAAAAGCATTACATAGATTTATGTTGTTTTGGTTGAAGTTTTTAACTTCTCAAAAATTATTGATTTCTTGACTAGAGCATACTGTATTCACTTAGTCTAAAGTAAGCCTCTAATGATACTGAAAGCATTTTTTGTTCTTTTTCTCAGCACTTTTTTATTACATGACTTTTTAAAACTGTATGTTAATGGTTGGATTATTCTCCTGAATTAGAAAAGTAGCATCAAATAATATAGAGGTTTTTAGATTTCCAGTCTTTTCCCTCAAAATTAATGGGGCAATGATGGGGTTTGGCTTTTTTCCTTCTCATTTACAATTTTTCACTTTAACACTACTTTATAGAGACACACCTGAAAGGGAGGGACTAGTTGCAGCTTATAGATGTTCAAGAGCAGAGGTTTAAAGTTACACTGCCCAAGTTGCAATATTGGCTCCACTAGCTCCTAACTCTGTTCCACACAGGATACTTCTCTGAGTCTTTACTTTCTTCTCTGGAAATTGAGCTAACAACAGTACCTTCCTCATTGGTCTTTATGAGGATTAAATGGCATGATCCATTTTAAGATTTTTGGCACAGTGTCTAGAACACAGTAAAGAACAATAAACTGTACTATTATTATTAGGATGATTATTTTTGAGGAGGAGAAGAAAGAGTATAAGTAACCAGCTCTTTAAGTTTTCTCATGAGGATTTTT